AAATCAAGTCATTCTAAGTGGTTGATACGTTTAAGTCCCTTTTTCATCATCAAACCTCTGTAACTGGATTTTTGCATACATGGTGTCAGACTTCTCTGTTGTTTTCCACATTGGTCTCCTGTATTGCCGGTTTATAACATATCAGGCCATTTTCTGACGCAACCCTAGCCTGTCATGCTCGTGACAGCCCTTTAGACTGGAGGTTCTTTGCAAATGGCCAGAATTGTACAGGAAACATACTGTGAAAAATGTATGAGGGGTATATGAAATATAGCTGTGTAATGTGAATATTCCTTTAACCTCATTCATAAATTTTTATGCTTTGATGATCATATCGGGCAGCTATGAGTGAGGGTTAAATGTTAACTATCTGTCACTGAAACAATAGCTCAAGTTTAACTGAACAAACAGTGTGACATGAGGTTTACTAATAAAGATACTGTTAGACATTCTTTCTGCTTTTTACAAGCTTGTCATAGTCTCCATTAAAACTAACAGGTGGAAGAATGAATAAGCTCTACACGATATGCTCAGGCCAAGCAAGGAACTCGGTTACTGCCATTTCCATGTCATTTGACTACAGTAAGACAGCAAGGAGAGCAGAGCCCCACTGATGATTCATTTCTTGGCATGTAACTACTCTCTGTTTTAATGAGTACCTAACCCCATTGTTTGTTAGCTACACCACTAGATGCTCCCTAGCTGAAAGTAGCAGTACTAGCCTTCTCTGGAGGCAGTAATTGGCTTCTCAGGCAATGGCAGCCAATCTGAAGCAGTGAGTTCCCAATAATATTGATCCTGTTAAAATATAAGTATTTGAGGGCTGCTACTGTTATTTTCAGCTTTGGGGGGGGAGTCAGTTAAGGGGGGGCTAAAGTTAAATGATGGGTTAGATCCACTATAAAGGAAACCTCTCGTGATGGAATCATGGAGGCTGCATCCATAGTACTGATGCATTTGGTTTCAGCGGTTTCTGAGATACTGACCTGGGACAAGTACAGAGATGAGACATTTTTCTGTTTCATTTGCAGCATGCATATGTCTGGTCTATGTTTCAAAAAGTTTTACCGCGAGACATGCAAGTAACAAGCGATTTATAGAAGGAAGCCAGCAATAGCAACCCGCATAACTCTCTCATGAGAAGTTCACTTTAAGAGGGCTGTGCTGTATTGTACAGTATTCTAATTGAAAGGTTTTTTTGTCTGTTTTACCAAAGTCTGACTTGTCCTGCATTGATACACCTCAAGCCCTAGTCCTAGTTCATCAATCCCACCTGTTCCATTTCTAAAAGTAACAATGGCCAAAAACACTGAAAGCACTATGTGTGATCGAATGAATGAATGAATGACTTTTATTGCAGTCTTCATCTACGTTATACACCAGCAGGTTTGGCTGCACTAGATAAATACTTATCTTTTAACAGGATCAATATTATTGGGCACCCACTGCTTCAGATTGGCTGCCATTGCCTGAGAAGCCAATTACTGCCTCCAGAGAAGGCTAGTACTGCTACTTTCAGCTAGGGAGCATCTAATGGGGTAGCTAACAAACACTGGGGTTAGGTACTCATTAAAACAGAGAGTAGTGACATGCCATTGGAGAATGATTTGCATGACTGTCCACTATGCTACAAAGAGAAATAACATTATTTTGCCGATTTGTGAAGCGAATGATGAGCTAAAGATACCGTCTGTTATAAGAAGGCTTCACTGTACCGTGTGCTTAGACTAATCTACAGGCGCAAAAAATTTCCCTTTTTCCAAAATGAGGAGGCAGTGAAATGACACTGAACACTACAACCTGTACACTGGACAGAATGAATGGAGTCTACAGCTCATGGCCTGACTGTGAGGATACTGAAGTAGATGCTGTGTGGTGTTGGGCGTTGTGCACAGGAGAGATCTTGGAAGTGTGGAGCAGGTACATATGTGCTCTTACAGAACTGGTGGAGGATCAAGGGTAAGAGCACAAAACTATCACCATTCTGTTAGTTCTCCCCATGCAAAATCACTAGGTGTAAACTAAGCATAAATATAATCAATGGGCAAAATTAAAATTACTTACCTTAGACTCTAGCTTTCACACAGACTTTGCATGGTCAGATGTTACATGGTCTTCCCAAAGCCTCCTGGGAAACCTTAGTATCCCAAATGTAGGAAGAACGCACTTGTGCACATTGCTAGATTTAGTTTGAGTTTAAGGTCCACTTTAACAGGTTGTTGACCATTTAAAATTTCAGTGTAGCAAAAAAACTATTCTTTTACAGTTCTTCATACATCGGCTCCTAAAACATTTAGTTCAGAGTCCCAGTTGTCCGATAAAGTCTGAACTACTAATACTGTATCTATATTTGTTTGGGCTCCGTGATTCAGAAAACAGTGAGGCTACAGGAGCTGAATGATAGCCAGGAAACTAGTATGATCAGAAGAAGAGAACCCAATGGCAGATTCCTTACCTCAGTACAGGTTCCCTTTAATCTGGATTCTGTTGAATGCCCTGCAGTAAAGTTTACACAGACTAACAGGGTCAGTAATGGTCAATAGAGGGAAGGAGTATTGTACTAGATGAAGCCTGTTCTTTTTAACTTTGTCTTCTTCTGTTTCCTGCATCACCAAACACATTTAAACTTCCAAAACAACTGTGAATATGATTTGGTAGCCGTAAATATCTTCTTTTTTTTTTTTACTGGAATTTATTTGCATCTGGTTTTCCATATGTCAGAGGCAGCAAATGGCCTGCAGAGGGTGTTCCATAATTACCAGATTACAGACAAAAGGGACTGAGGTGGACTAGCTCACTACAGCAACACCCAGGTGAAAAACTGTCCTACCGACTAGACTGGGGCGACCTGTATGCATCTCAAGTAGGGGTGTATCAACCGCAAGGCAAACAAGGCATTTGCCTTGGGTGGCACTTTCCAGGGGGGCAGCAAAAAACGCCAGTGAGGCAAGCTGAGCCAAATAGAATCAGGCAGTCTTTGAGCAGCACATATGTGCAGGGAAAGAGACTCTGCACAGCCCACTTAAGACCCTGCAGAGCCCACCATAGACCCCCACACAGCCCAACTAAGAGTCTCAGGTGGGCTGTGTAGGGTCTATGGTGGGCAGTTCTAAGTCTGTGGTGGGGTCTGCAAGGTCTATGGTGGGCTGTGCTGTGCAGGCTGAGACCCTGCAGAGCCCACCAGACATCCTTCACAGCCCATCTGAGACCCCACAGAGCCCACTACAGACCCACCATAGATCCTACACGGACCACCTGAGATCCAGGCTTCCCCGCTACGCTAATAAGAGCAACCTGCCAGAAGCTGGATACAGCGTGTGGACTGTATCCAATGACTGACAGGTTACGCAAAATGTCTTAAACAGGAAGGGGTGGAGCAAATTTAGATTAGGAGGGGTGCCTGAATTTAGTTTTGCCTAGGCAGCACAAAACCTAAATGCACAACTGATCTCAAGGCTTATTTTCATTTTTAATGTGGAGTCATGAAATATCAATTGCACAATAGTCATACCCTGGTTTATAAAAGTGTTTTATTAACATCAACACATACATATATAAATCTGCTGGTAAATTATCAAAACGGAGGATATTTAAAAAGAAGGGGATAGAAAACATACAGTTGATTTCTTCAATAATAATTAGCGTATTCACATTATGTAACTTTTGTAGAATGGTCCTTTAAGTGAAGTTTAGTTTAACAGGCCCTCTATTGGACTGGATTGATAAGGTACTAGAATAATACATGTTTTGTCTTTTTGGTACAACTTCTTCAGCACTTAACTTGTGCTTCTTGTGGTCATGCCATATAACCTTCTATAATACTCCATAATTATACTTAATGCACCATATTATATTAGTAGATTACTTGAAAATATTGACAAGTTAATTAAAAGATGGACACTGAACGATAGTCATTACAGGATTGCAACATTATGATTCTTCATCACTGGATATTGCATCAATGGTGTCTATCTTTTTCAAGCGTAGGGAGTCGTACTTCGGAGGTGGAGTGCCAGGTATTGGCGTGTTAACTTGATCGGAATCCTCGTGCTGGAAGCCAGAATTAGCGTAGGACTCTACCAGCTCAGCCACCGTAGGTGGTGGATCATTATACTGTGGCCTTCGCCTCTTCGACCTCCTGTCTCTCTTCCAAGCAAGGGTCTTAAGTATAGTGATCCAGATGCAGTCTATGATGATCTCTCCAAACTCAATGATGCACAAGACTGAGCCTCCCATCCAGAATCCAAACTGACCTCCCAAGTTGGACAGCAGCCACACCAGCTGTTGGATAAGAAATACATTGAGAAGTGAGATCAGATGAGGCTAAACAGAAACCAACAGTTAACCAATTGGAATGGACTTTGCTGATTAAATTCAGCCTGTGCTCAGAAGGAAGTGGATTGGTTGTACTGGACAACAGTTCCTCCTTAAATCGACAGGGTCTGGAACTGAAAGAGAAAAACAAAAATCTCCTGTAAAAGTGGAGACTTTATACTTACGTGTCCAACCACCTGTTTGTGAAATATGTGCTACTGCAACAAAAAACTCGCCCAAGAGTCTTCACATTTGACACCCTTCTGGGTTTGTCGGATGCCTGCACTCCCACCACGGTTTGGTTCCTCCCACCAACATTTAAGTCATTACAGGAGTAGTGAAGTAGGGGCTGGCAAAAGGAACCACAGAGTGAAACGGGCTCAGGCATCCAACACACCCAGACTTTTCAAGCAGCTTTGCAGTGCAGTAGGGCCAGGATTGCAGGAACAAGCATTTGGACAGGGAAGAGTAAAGTCTCTTCTTAAATAGATTTTTGTTTTTCATTTTCATTTCAGTGATCATTTCTGGGTTGTTATATATATTTTTGTATGCCCATAGTAGTATGGCCTAAAGTGTATTTACACTTTTGCAGCAAGATTGGGATTACACCTACTTTGTATTTGTTACAGCTTCCTATTCACATAGCATAACTTTGAAAAATCTTATTTAGCTTCCCCCCTGCAATGTAACATTAAGTGAGGGGTTGGGGAGCAAAGTTTGCCACAATTACCTCTGTCTTTACTGCACTGGTAGATCTCCATTATATGTTGTAAATTAGATGTGCAGGTGTGCCAGTCCTAACAAAGGGTTGAAGATCTCAAGGGTTTCTCAAATTTGAATTCAAAGGTGGAAATACACTTGAATCTTTGCCTTTACCCACAATTAAAGCTGAACTCTGGTCAGCCTTTACAAATAACTCTTAGGTTCCACCCCAGGATAGTAAGAGTTAAATTTTTGTTTAGACTAGCGTAGGAATAAAGCAGAGGAATACTTACCCTATTCCACGCTCCTGCAGATTTCGTTCTTGCCCGTTTAGGTATAGATGATAAGCCCCATGAAGCCACTCCCACACCTACTCTTCTCCAATTCACTTAGGAATGTGGATGGACCCTTGGCATCCTCGCATACAATACAGGACCAGCGTACATGATAAAACCAAGGGTCCATCCGCATTCCGAGTCTAAAGATGGTCAGAGAAGAGTGCCCGGTGTCAGAGGAGCAAAGAATAAGGTATTCTCTTCTTTACACCTCCTCCCCAAACGAAACAAGTATTTAACCTTTACTATCCTAAAAAGGGGGGCACCCAAAAAATATTTTTAAAGGCTGACCAGAGTTGAGCTTTAAAGCAACCCTTAGAATTTATTAAAATTAAGACTTACCTTTCCTGCTGCCTGTGGTGCCAAATGCTACTCTCAGAAATCTTCTGCTACCCTGAAACTAACACTTCTGGGTGTCCAGGGTCCGGTTCTGGGTTCCCCACAACTCTCACTGTTTCCTCCTTCTGACCTCCACCCATTACAGGATATAATAGTGACTTGAAGTTCAGCAGGGTAAACCAGTAAGCATGGCGTCTGACCTCAGAGACCGACACTCCCAGAAGTGTTAGTTTCAGTTCGGACTTCAGCAGAAGATTTCTCAGTAGCATTTGGCAGGAAGAAAGAGAAGTCGAATTCTTTTACATGTTTGGCTTCATCTAAATTCTATATATACAGCAGGAGCGTCGCTTGAAGTACAAACTGTAGTGAACCGACGTTTCTCCAACCAAGTAAAACCATTTTAAAGCTAAAGTTTGCAGCAGATTTTAGAGAGCAGTTGCTTGGATCTCCCACCTGATAAAGTATGTTTACAGTGCTGCAAGGACTGTGCCCCTTAAGCTTGTAATTCCACTTGCAACAGGGAAGAAAACTTGTAATACTTGCTGTTTGGGAGAAGAAAAGTGACAGTGTGAGGTTCTGGCTGCAGGCCAAATATTTAGGGCCGATTTCCATATACACTGTGTTCTATTAATGTGTGCATTACTGCAACACATGTGACGTGGGTTGGCGAGTTATGGTGCCATTCATTTTGAATGACACCCCAACGCACCAAGACAATATTTTTAGTGGGCTGCCTTAATGTAATGCACTTTAAAACAAATGTAATGGACCCCCAAGCATGCATTGGTTCCATGTATTGAGTTGTTTTAGGTGCTGTCCTCTTTCATTTCTTTCTCTCTTGCTATATACAGTATAGTTGTATAGCTCCTGTTAATCACCCGGTATTTCCACCCTGCCCCATCCCATTGCCACCTGTGTGGTATTTGCATTCTCTTTTCTGCTATTTTATGGGGAGTGTCAATTTGCCTCTCGTCTGATCCAGGTCCAGCCTGTGTGTTTAGCTCCTGCCTTGTTTGCTATGACCTAAGTATTTAGCCTTCTTGTAGTCTGTTCTCCTGGTAACCTTTTGTCCCAGCACTAGCTGTCAAGTTGTTTCTATGTGGTCTTTCCTGGTAAGTATCTTTTCTGGTGCATGCTGCAGGGTAGCTTCCGTTGGTGTTGTCCTACATGGCAGCACAAGCTGTCAGGTTGTTGTCAAGTGCCTATGTATTCACCTCAAGTCAGTCTGTTGTCTCTTTGCTGTGTTACCATTGAGGGTCACAGTCTGAGTAGTGTCATTTCTACAACTCTATCTTAACTATCTGGAGCGCTGGCAAAGTCCAGATCTTGCCCCCTTACAATGACCATTTATACCCACTAGTGACACAATCCTTGGTCTCTGTCTGTTTGTGATAGTTATCTAGTTGTAGATGGTTCATGCAGTTCTGACCCTGATCTTAGCTATCTCCTCTGGCAACTGACCTTCTGTAATGCTTTTGGTCTTGCTATTGACTATATTTACCCTCAATGCTGCACTAGGTGTGTCAAAGCCCTTTAAACCAGCCAGCAGTTTCCTGCTGGTACTGACAGACAGAACCAGTTTTCATTTTCCCCAGCAGCATGATCCGTAGTTACCCACAGAAAGAAAATGTCCTTCATTGCATCCGTAAAACAGCCAAAGCGGGCAAGTGTTGTCTTAGAGCACATGTGCAAACACAAGGCCCGTGGGCCGAATCCGGCCTGCCAGGCCATTTCATGTAGCCCTCACACCTCTCCTGCAGCTTTCATTTTTTAAACAGAAGCCAGCACTGTAAACAGGAGTCGGGCTTCACAGGAAGGCTGCTGAAGTCCCCAGCAAGGTCCCAGCAGCCTTCGTGTGAATTGTGGCACCTGTTTACAGCGCCGACATCAAATCTCCTTCCTGTGGATCCACGACACCCTCACCCTCCAAGACCGACCGGGACCCCTGGCGAGTCCACACAGCCCACCATAGAACCTGCTCAGCCACCTGAGAGTCTGCAAAGGCCTCCATAGAACTCGCATAGACCACCTGAGAGTCCGCACAGCCCACCATAGAGCCCGCATGGCCCACCATAGAACCTGCACAGCCACACGAGAGTCCACACTATTACACTAATTGCCATTACTTTTCCTAGACTTCTACTTTCAGAGCTAGTTATTCCTAAAAACAGTAATAATTAGGCAAGTAGGCAATTATTTAATATGATCAAGAGTCGATAAATTTATATAGTCTTACAGATACAACCGGCCCTTTGAGGGTAACCATAGTGCTGATGCGGCCCGCAATAAAATTGAGTTTGACACCCCTGTCTTAAAGTGTGTGTGTGGCTTTGTGTTAAAAACAAAATGTGTTGCATTTTTGGGGGATTACATAATCTTGGTAGACCATATGTAATTTTATAGGCCTTTACCACATTTTTACATATTTGCTTATATATACAGTCATGGCCAAAAATATTGGCACCCCTGCATTTCTGTCAGCAATGAGTCCAGATCTAAATCCTATAGAGCAGCTGTGGAGAGATATCAAAGCAGCAGTTGGGAAAAGGAACCCTTCCAATCTGAGAGACCTGCAGCAGTTGGCGAAAAAAGAGTGCTCCAAAATTCCTGTAGAGAAGTGTAAGAAACTCATTGATAGTTACAGGAAGCGATTGGTTTCAGTTTCTTTTTTTCCAAGGGCTGTGCTAACAAATATTAATTGAGGGTGGCAATAATTTTGTCCAGCCCATTTTTGGAGTTTTGCATGGTATGTGTGAGATTTGGCTTTTTCTTTTCTTCCACTTTTTTGTGTTGTACCAATACAAACAAAAGAAATAAACGCGAGAATGCCTGAACGTTTGTAATTGCAACAATTTTCTGCGTGAAGGGGTGCATTATCTGACAGAAATGCAGGGGTATGGAGGATTGAGGCTGGAGTGACTTGTAGGGAGTAATTCACTTTTATGGACATGGATATTTACAGAGAGATTACAAAGTAATTAAATGGCGAGGAATATCCCTTTATACCTATGATAACACTGTAAAATCAATATTTTCTTAACACCAACAGATAAGTCAGATGTTTAATCTTACAGACACTCCTGTATGGAGGTTGTACAGACGAGGACTTTGCCACATGTAGAAATCAATCAGCTTCCACCTTTTAGTTCCAAGTTTTTAGCTGGGGGGAAATTTAAAAACCATTCTTGCAGTGTGCCCCAAAAAAAAACCACACTAGTTTTTGTCTAGGAGAACATTAAAAAGCAGTTTTACTTACCATATCCCTCGCTGCCCCCTGGCAGCTGCCACTTTCCCCTTTGCCGCTCCAGGCTGTAAGCTGATCCTTGACATCCTCACTTACAATTTAGGACTGATAGCCCTGCATTGTATATGATGACATCAGAGTGTGACTAATTGATGGAGGGCCAAAGAGAAGCTGTTTTGGGGGACCGTCCTCACATAATGGAGGAGATTGTGGAAGCAAGGGATGAGCATGGAGAGGCCCTCCAGTAACAGCGAAAGGACAATGTTCATGTTAGTATTAAAGATTGAAAAAAAAACTTAAGGGTTATTCACAAAAGGGTGAAGAATTTGGAGAAGGCCGGAGAAGTGAACAATCTAGGAGAACATAGCTGAACTGGAAAGTGGAACTGAATTGGAGAATTTCTTCCAAATCATCTGTGTTGTCCTAGATTGTTCACTTCTCCTGCCTTCTTCAGACCCTTCACCCTTTTGTGGATAACCCTGTAAAAAAAAAAGTAAAATTAGGTGTTTCTGGAGTTGTGATTTAAGATAGAACATGAAGAAAAGAATCTTACTAAAATAATTAAAGTGATATTCAAATCCAAAGATTTTTAAGCTATATATTTCAGGTGCTAATAAAATCGCTTACAATGAATGCTGCTCCTTGATGTTTAAAGTTTTTTACGTTTCCTGTCGAATCAGCTGGTTTCCACAACACTGGCCCTAATGTCAGGGTTGCTCTATTCCCTTGCTTGGTCAAATAAAGACACCCTAGTAATCCTTGTGTGTCTCCACAAACAGTCACAGCAAGGCAAGCCTCTCCCCCGTTCCCCCCTCCTTTTTTCCTTCTCCAGTCTAGTACTTGGACAGTTCTATAATAATCCTCCAAGCTCCACTTACATTGGTGGTCGCTGACTCTGAAATACTGCGGTAGTTAAATTCTTCAAAGTAGATGTTCAGCCTCATGATGCCCTTCCTGAAAACAGTAAAGCATGACAAGTGAAAGGTTTAAATTGGTCATTTCCTGAATTTTCCAGCACAAACTAAGATTATAGTAGCCAAAATATTTGTGGCCTCTGAACCTACTGCCCTGGATTATGAGAATTTGGGCATGATCGAATGTCATCCAATCAGAGTTTACATCTACTTTAAGTTTGTTAACACATTATGTACAATAATTAGCATTAAAAAAAATACTGTTTTCACCTTCTTTTGTACATTTATTGTATCTCAGTGCATCTGATCTCCTGTAGACACTTCCTGTCTACATGCACTCCATTGATGACTGCATGACATTTACCAGAAAGGGTTTCCTGATGGTGGTAACAGCGGGCCATGCCTGTGTATTGTATGCTGAAATGGCCACTTGTAGTCTCCACCAGGAAAACAATGTAGGAGCACATATGAGAGATTGGGACATCCTACAACAGGAAGTGTCTGAACAAGGACCTTTATAGCAGGATATTATTTAATGAAAACAGCACATTTTATAAAATATTAAAACGTCTTTTGGAATGAGATGCCTGTTAAAGCTTATATGAGATTCTAGTAATTGGGTTTACATCTTTTTTAAAGTGAACCTGTGAGGACAGAGAAATGAGAATAGACATCGCTGACTTGTTTTTTTTATAGGTGCAGGATCAATTAATGTCCTCCTAAACCGTAAAGCCAGAACTGAAGTTTGCATGCTTGTTCCAGGTTGTTAATCTACAGGTCAGGTTGTTAATCTACAGGATCAGCATGGCAGCCGGGGACTAATATTTTTAGGAGGCAATGGTAACCTACATACTTCCTCAGTGCAGGTTTCCTTTGGAAGTGTTTTATGGGCAGTTTATACAACTTCCACAAAAAGTAAGTTTCTTGTTTCATTATGAATATATGAACTTATTTACCTGTTCACAGTGATGGTAGTGCTGGCGTCTTTTTCATATGAGAGAACATGAAAAATCCAGTCCTGTAGAAAAGAGAATGAAGAGCTGTCAGTGTGGGAAGGCAATGTTCATAGAATACACTGAATCTTCTGCGCCAACTGATATAATTACTTGGTATTCCTGTGAGCAATTACAAGCTGAAATCAGCTATGTAGTTGCAAAGCGTCGGATGCAGTGGTGTAAAGCACGCCGCCACTGGACTCTAGAGAAGTGTAGATGTGTTGTCTGGAGTGACGAATCACGCTTCTCTGTCTGGCAATCCGATGGACGTGTCTGGGGTTGGTCGGTTGCCAGGAGAACGGTACTTGCCTGACTGCATTGTGCCAAGTGTAAAGTTTGGTGGAGGGGGGATTATGGTGTGGGGTTGTTTTTCAAGGGTTGGGCTTGGCCCCTTAGTTCCAGTGAAGGGAACTCTTAAGGCATCAGCACACCAAGACATTTTAGACAATTTCATACTACCAACTTTGTGGGAACAGTTTGGGGATGGCTCCTTACTGTTCAAACATGACTGCGCACCAGTGCACAAAGCAAGGTCCATAAAGACATGGATGAGCGAGTTTGGGATGGAGGAACATGACTGGCCTGCACCGAGTCCTGACCTCTACCCGATAGAACACCTTTGCGATGAATTAGAGTGGAGACTGCGAGCCCGGCCTTCTCGCCCAACATCAATACCTGACCTCACAAATGCGCTTCTGGAAGAATGGTCAAACATTCCCATAGACACACTCCTAAACCTTGTGGACGCCTTCCCAGAAGAGTTGAAGCTGTTATAGTGGCAAAGAGTGAGCAAACTCAATATTGAACCCTACGGACTAAGACTGGGATTCCATTAGAGTTCATGTGCGTGTAAAGACAGGCGTCCCAATACTTTTGGTAATATAGTATATATACAAATAAAATTTAAAAAAAATGTTTTAAATGAAAGGAAATCAATATATCATATAAAATTTCTGTACAAGCCGTTTTTCATTTTCAGTTGTAAATTCAAAGCAATATGGTGACCTGGAAGCATTTTATACACTGTTGGTGTATGGACCGCTCCCAGAAATGACACTTCCTGCTTCAGTGATTGGCTGACTAATTTTGCCCAGAAGATACAAATAGAATTGTAGGCATCCCTTGCGGTAGGAATATAATTTTTGGTGAGGTATTCTCTAAGAGTTAATTACAACTAAAGGCATGCCGACACCTTTCCTCATTAGAACACAGGAAGCGCACCAGCTAATTCTAATGAACCCAGACCCTCAGGAATCCGCTGGAAATTAAAAAGATTTTTCTTCAAAACAGAAAATGTTTGGAATCTGCAACAAAGTTTGTTAAAATCCTTGCATTGATCACGCAGAGGGTATTTTGTTTTTCTCAAAAAAAGTGGAGTTACACTTTAAGCCGTCATGTGCTCGTGTGCACGGCATTTTAGCACATTGTGGCAGGCTTACCTGCCAAACGGATCCGCTACAGTGCTGTGTTCATCCCTCACCGGCGCTTCCATCTTCCTCTTGGTCTTTAGTCACATGACTGGCTGGGCCCCAATGATGTTACTTCATCTTGGCATGCCAGGTCTGCACATTGAGCTGCGCATGCGTAGCTCATTGTACAGAAAACAAAAAATGCTGAATGGCAATAAGAAGCTTTTATGGCAGAAGAGACTTACACAGTCTCTGCTTTCATATTAAGCTTGCCGATCAACAGGTTTTTTTTCATAACTTTACTTCCACTTTAACCACCTATAGGCCAGGTTGGGGTGTTATCCAAGGATGGTCTTGGTCAGGGGTAGGCAACTTTGGCTCTCCAGCTGTGCTGGAACTACAAATCCCATCATGCTTTTTCCTCTGGGAGTCATGCCTGTGGCTTGCAATGCCTTATGGGATTTGTAGTTTCAGCACAGCTGGAGAGCCAAGGTTGCCTACCCCTGGTCTAGGTGCTCATCCGATCTATGGGATGACAGGGAGATATCTTACTGGCCATTGTTAGACGAGAAGTCTTCCCATTAATGGCCGGCCTAAGGGCCCCCTTACACTTATCACATCCAGATGTAAAAATTAATCTTCTATTAAAAAATAAATAACTATCACTAGTTGGTATCAGCAGAAGGCTCTGCATATCTTCTCTAATATAACCATTTAGAGCAGAGGTGGGTGACTCCAGCCCTCCAGCTGTGCTTTAACTACAAATCCCATCACTCATTTGCCTCTGTGAGTCATGCCTGTAATTGTCAGTCTTGCAATGCCTCATGGGATTTGTAGTTCCACAACAGCTGGAGGGCTGGATTTACCCACCCCGATTTAGAGCCATGGGATAAAAGCCGTAAAGCTGATGATGCTTGAGTGCCTCAGTTAATCCCATTCAAAAGGGTTAGAGATGTTCAGATACCAATTACCGTACACTTTTCCAGCTCCAAGACTAGACTAGAGAAACATTCAAAAGTTAGGAGGCAGCTGTCATTTGTAAGGAGCACGCGGAGCTCCTGGGATTTGTACATCTCTGTTTTATTGTATGATTTAGTTTTTATAAATATATATTAGGGATGCACCGATATCATTTTTGCTAGTACGAGTACTGATACTTGCCCAAGTACTTACAGATACAAGTACTGATACATTTCTGTTTATTGTCATGTGACAGTTTTTCTAAAACAATACAGACTAATGATTTCAGGACAGTGGTGGAACATCAGAACCAGGTCCCAGCAGCAACCGCTGCAACCGTGGTAGTTCTCATGAAAATGCCAAGTATCTGCACTGGTATCTGAACATCCCTAAAAAGAGGTTATACATACAGGCAGCATTTTTTAAGGTTTGGGAAAGCCTTCTCAATGCTCATTGACTTTTGTCAATATTTACGATGTCAGCCTTCATGTACATCACTTTGCATTGATGAAAATGTCAGCTGTAGAGCTTTTCCAGTTCTAAGCTGCCGTGGTGCTGATAATGCTGTCTGAGGGAATGCTGAAAAAATGGCTTGCTAAGCATCACAGCATTAACTGTGATATCCCCAGCCCCTAAAGGACTATAATCCCAGAATGCATCTGGAGAGCTTTGCTCTTAAATCATAATGGACATTAACAGATTTTAACCATTTTAGTTGGTTTTTTTTCCATTCCCTTAAAATTAAATACCCAGTACTCATGCCATTTATTATAATGCCCTGTGTTTTGCAGAGAATACAGTATATTCCATTACATATTTTGCCAGTAAATATCTTCACCTTTGGGTGACATTTGTATCTACTGCGGTACCTACCTCTGCTGCTGCGGATGGCCAGTCAGCCATGGAAATGGTCATTTTGTAATTACTGTCACTGTGAATGAAAGAAGTGTATAGTTACAGTATGAACCTTTCTTGGGGCAGTTTCACTATATTTTTATAAACTGGTGATTTGGGCAGTTACCGGTTTTATCTTTGCTGTATTCTTTAAAGCCAAACGTCCAAAACGCAAACTTTAAAAAACAAAATTCAGTAGTCGCAAAGTATATTAATCCACTGTGCGAACCACATAAGCTGGTAAAAATAGTGGTGACATCATCGATGTGCTGCGCATAGCCTGTACAGACAGCAGAGCTCTGGGAGGTGCCCAGCTGTCCCCACCCACTACAGGCAGCCTGCAGAGAACTAAGGGAGGGGTCGAGACAAGACCAGTCACCCGGCAGAAGGAAAGAGAGTAACAGTGACTGGTCATGGTGCTCCTTCACAGCTCAAGGTGCAGAATTTGTTTCATGTTGAATTACTGCACAGATCTGGAAGAATTACATAAACTGTGTCAATATTCGGTATAGAATACGTTCCCCTCCCCTCTCTGCTGACATCCATCACCAAGATGGCCGCCGGCAGGTATCAGGCGGCTATTAGACGGCTGCGCATGCGCGATGACGTCCCGGCCTGGTGTCACCCTGTCTCTGCTCCGGGTGACGCCAGGCCTTGGGACGCCCCTGAATACGTTAACTCTTGTATATAGACGTAAATTATTTAATCTGAAGTTTAGCTTTAAACTTTATTCTCAGTAGAGTTTAGTTTTAGACAGAAAGTGAAAGATAGTTGGAGCAGGTCTCATTTTTATCATAAAAAATGCCTAACCAGGAACCTTGACCATAGACTGATTAAGGCAGAATGAGTCCTTAGACGAGGTAGCAGCTTAGGACCCACCATCCCTTTGACTGACACTGATAAGGACTACATTAAGCACACAAAAGTCACCCAATTTGCTTTGTCTTTGCTGGCATGGCCCCATCAGACAACTGCCTACAAGTGCAATGCAGTAACAGGCAGGTCCACAGCTTTGAAATTTGTTATTCCACTGATTTACTGCAGAAGCATGAAAGTTGTAGTTTGGCCACCTGGACATATCTTGGGCCTTGGGTTCCTGCCTAGATTTGCCTTGCAGATGAACTGGCTGTGACCTGGATACTTGGAGACACCAACCACGATACAGTACAAGCTTCCTTTTACTTTCCCTTTACCCAATGCATTTACAGTGCTGCTCTCTTCAAAAAGGTCAGTTTACTTTACTTGTGGTTGGACACTAGAGGTCTGAAATGACAGTCCCTTGTATCTTCAGTGGTTGGATTTTCAAGAGCTTCTATCTTTGACCCCTTTCCCGCTATTGTATGCCCATGGTATGGCCACTATGTTTAATAGGAGAGAAATAAAAGATAATTCTCTATGATGGATACATAGTTGGGGGTCACACACTTCATTAGTTTTGAGTAGGTATTTATTGCCTATTCCTCCTCTTCCCAATATTAGCACCTGCATTATCTGTAATGCAAAATTTCAATTCCCTCACTATGGTAGCTGCAAGCGGTTAAAAATGGAAACCCAGCTTTGAAAAAAGCTCCTGAGAAGTATAAGAAGCTGGCGAGTGATTTAAACTACCAGCATCTATTAAAAACTGAAAAATCACAGTGACGGGTAGTTTCACCCTCTAGTATAAGTGGTTTTACTAGATCCCTGTTAAACAAGTACAAAGAGCTACAATACTGTGCAAAGGACAGTTACCAATAGCAGCAAATCAGATCTGAAAGATGGTTTATGATTGGTTACCGCATTTTTCTGTTTGCCTCCTTGAATAAGTCTACAGCCACTCGTGGCTGCTGAGCACCAGCCTAGAGGTCCATGGCCTTGGCATAAGAAGAAGGCTGGTGGCAATGGTTTTTTAAGAAAACATTACATTAAAAGAAGAGTTTCTATAATGTTTTTTTTAGTAAAAAATAAATAATCGAATAAATATTTGATTTCCATACACCTGCAATTTATAAACCCCTTTTAATTTGTAAACTCTCGTGAGCAGAGCCCTCCTAACCCTCTTGTCTTGAAAAGAATTGAAACTTTATTGCCTTTTATATGTAAAGTGCTGCACAAACTGTTGGAGCTACACACATTCCATATACTGTAATATTATATGTATATGGACTGTTTCCAAGACATGATGGTCGAGTACTGCAATTGTGTCCATTACCTATACCCTTGGTTCTCAAGTGGTGGGTCGTGACCCAAAAGTGGGTCGCGACCCCATGTTCAGTGGGTCGCCGCGTGCCTTCCACTTTTCTAGGTGAAAAGCTCATCAGCCTCCCCCTTGCGTAGCACTGACAGTTCTTGCGCCAAACAGCCATTCAAAATATGCTGCCCGGTGCAGATTGTCAGCTTGAGGTGGGATGGGCTGTGGCTATGGCCGTGAGGGAGCTACATCTATACTTACAGCTCCCTCGCCTGTCCTGGACCAGAGTGATGTCACATTCTGGCTACCTACAGGGCACGCAAAGGGAGTTGTACAAGCAATGCACATATGGATGGAGCTCTGTCACAGCACAGCAGCCCACACTGGACCCCAGGCTGAGGATCAACTCCAAGTTCTCGTAATGTATGGATCTGGGTGGATCTTTTGAATGGTACCCCAAACGCACCTCCCACCCACAGTTTGATTGACGCACCAGAAAGTGCAATACCGCAATGCTGTGTGTTCCATTGCAGTGCAACTTGGGTCGCGACTTAATGAACGAGGACAAATGTGGGTCCCGAGGTTACACAGGTTGAGAACCACTGACCTATACCCACTACCTGAGTGTGCTCGTTTCTGTAATAACGAGGAAGATTTATCTCATTGGATTTGGAGTATTTACTGCTTCTTCTCACAATGCAAGTCTAGGAATCAGTCAAATCATTTAAAATAATGCACTCTCTCTGTGTGTATATCTTATTTCAACAGCTGTTAAGCATGGAGATTAAGGACCCATTCACACCACATCCAGATCATCTCTAGACCAGACAAGATTGTTTCCGGACCCACAATGCATCATAATGTATCCCTATGCTATTTCTGGCCCCTGTTCACACCAGTGCAGTCAGTTCCAGACCTGACCAGAAAAATACTGCAGGTCTCATTTTGTCTGGTCTGGAATGTACTGGAATGCATGAAAACGCATGCAAACTCACTGGAACACACCTGATAGACCATTTTAAGCTAAAAAAAAAAGCAACAAACCCGGCAAAAGCGCGGTAAAAATGTGGCAAAAACACAACGCAGCTCGTTCCAGATCTGGTCCGGAACATGTTGTGAACCTAACCTTAATGAGGCTGAGTCATAGACAGAGCTGCCTGTAATGGTTAGTCTAAAAACTCACTATTTAATAGAATATTCAAATAGAAGAGCAAGTATTTGAAAATGTAAAAGTCATGTGAACACTACAATATCAACTCAAAATATGTGGCTGCTGAACATACCCCACAACATCCCTCTACATACTTAAATCTGATTTAACACACTTACTTGCAGGGTTGTTTACACATGTCAATACAGTGTTCTCTATATATTACAGTGTCCCTTAGGTTATAATAGCATAACACTGTGAAGAAAAATATACAGAAAATATCACAATTTTTGTCAGCCATTTGAAATAATCAATCATTATATCTTATGAATATATTTTGTTAAAGATAAAAAATACAGAGTCCAATACTTTTTGCTGTGGGCTTGAGATTGCCCTAGTATGTGGGTTATGCCATAATTTCTGGACTTTCCCTTTTCTCCTGCATTAGCTTTTCTACCAAAAATTACTTCAGCCATAGATTTTGTGATATAGTTCCATTTGCTAGAAGCACGTAATGGCACAGACCTTTTTTTTTTAACAAGTCACATGCTGAACAGCAGTAGCGTACATAGACCACAAAAGATAATTTCAGGTATCCTATCAGCACTCTGTTTCCTCACAAATGTACACAACCTCTCCGGATAGGGCTCCGTGTGTTCAGTGTTCTCAGCCCAGAGCACTTATTTTAATATCACAAGTATTTACAGGTCAACATCTGATAAGCTCATGATCAAGACCTAAGATATCTTAATAAGTTACTGACAACTAGAAGCCTCTTATTACTAGGCCTTCAACATGGATTCCTTTGTATTTCTCAGAGGATGACCATTATGGCCCCTCTCGTCTTCTAGGGTCCCTGTGTCGTAGTACAGGCTACATAATCTTTAACACACAAAGAAGTTAATGGCGTTCATAGCTCTATCAGAAAGCTTGTCGCAAAAGAAAATACATTCAGTACGTACATTGCTACTACTAGCCATGGACAGCTAGTGCATAGGATTGTCAGAGTTCTGCTTTTACTTACCCCAATCAGGATCTTCCTTGTTATTACAGAAATGAGCACTTTCAGGTAGTGGGTATAGGTAATGGGCACAATTGCAGTATTCAACCATCATGTCTTGGAAACAGGATCGTAAGCAAGACTGAAAATACAATGCAAAAGATGTTCTCAATTTCTAGACATGCAAAATATACACTGTAAACAATATCGTATGCATTTTTTTTAAAGATTATATTTATTAGAAACATTTTAAAGGAACAATACAAAAATAGGAGCAAAGGTCAAGGACACATAGGCATCACATTAAACAAAGGTCTTTAGGAATGCAACACAACAGCACATTTTAATCCCAACAAATAAGGAACATTTACCTCATGATATCGGACTGATCAGCTCCTTAGTACCCATACGAAAAGGGAACGGCCCATGGAGAAAGAGATAAGGAGAAAGGCAACAGAATACAAAGAGAGAAAAAGAGAAAAAGCAAAGAAGGGCACGGTCACGGGTATCCCAAAATTGCTCCCCCCCAATCACAGAGGTGTCAAATCAAACGGCCAAAAGGCTACAAAATCGATCAGTAGGGCAGAAATGTAACCAGAGACTCCATGTTGCGTAAAATTTGGCATTGTGGTGATACAGATCCGCAGTAAGTTCTTCCATACGGCATATACACTGAGTGGCCAGTTTATTATGACCACCTGACGTTTGTAGGCAAATCAGCTACATTAGCTATAATTTCGCACTGAAGTTGCTAGAGGGCCAGACCATTATAAATAGGGAAGCAGGTTGTTTACCACGACAGTAGTAGTGATTTATTTCTGAAGATATGGGTAAACAACGCGATTTAACAGCCTTTGAACGTGCGATGATTGTTGGCGCGAGCCATGGAGCGAGTATCAGCAAAACAGCAGAATTCGTTAAATGTTCAAGAGGGGCTCATTGTTAAAGTGTTTAAAGACTGGACTGTCAGCCGAAAATCTGGGTCTGCACGTGTGAACTCTGGCCGTTAGCAACTAGTCAATGTTAGGACAGAACGGAGAGTGGCAAGACTAGTACAAAACAACAGAAGGGCAACAGCGTAGTGTCAGATTCCTCACATCACCTTTCAACATCTCGTGGAGTCACGAGGCGGCCCAACAAAGTCATCTCGTGGAGTCATCTCGTGGCCCAACGAAGTACTGATGGGGTGGTCATAATAATCTGGCCACTCAGTGTAGATTGTAATTCAGTCGCCCACTCACGGGGAGTAGGCGGTGTATTCGACTTCCAGTGCTTCAGTATTACCGCCCTTGCGGCTATCCAGAAGTATCTCAGTAGGCCCTTCTTTGCCCATGAGATCAAACCCGGAAGAACAGACAGGAGAGCTACCTGTAGGGACCTGTCCACTTTGGTGTGAAGCAGATGGTCATAGGTATCAAAAATAACATTCCAGAAGGGGATCAACAAAAGGCATGACCACCAGACATGCAACATCGTCCCAGGGTGTGACATGCAACGCCAACATAGTATTCTTAGAATGAACAGAAACATATTATACTTTTGTTTGCTCCCCAGAACATGTGGTAAAGTGTATGTATAGCCTAAATAAGGGGCAATCCTCTCTTAAACAGCTGTCACCCTAACACCTTAAGTGTCTCAATTGGAAGATTTCCCCATCACATCCTACTTTGGTGACAAACAACAAAACGTGTTGCAGTTTGGACACGGTCCTTCCTTCTCAGCCCTGCCCTCAGCGGTACCCCTTGGTGTTTCCTGGTGATGAGCATCTTGGTGATTGCTATTGACTTGGGACATTTATACTCACCTGGGTGGCATTCGGAGGTTACCTCATGCTTTGCTACATCCAAGGATAACCCCTATTACATGCAGTGATGAATCATCATGTCTGGACTGTATGATGTATTACTTATACCACAACTTGACTGAAGTGGCTTATGTATTACTCTTTGCATTTGCATCTATTTCTCTATGTGGAGAGTATTAGTATTAGTGATTGCAAACTATATGTTCTAAAACTAAATTTAGATCCAGTGAGGAGTGTTGACTTTTTAAATACTAGTTTACCTTGGCTAAGATAGCCTTGTATATTTGAACAATTTTCTATACATAGCACCATGGTGCTGGGACACTTTTATAAAGCATGAATATAATTTCAGGAGAACTTTACTTAGTCCGCTGTGGACAAATGCTGAGACCTGATTTCATTCTACTCCTGGAATTGCTATAATCAATTTGTTGGAAGGTCTCTCAACCCTTCCACCCATATACGGTTTATAATACCATCCATTGTGCTGTATGCTACACCTTGTTATAGAGCAAGGCTTTACACTGTCATCCCTGTGGGATATTTGCAATATACTTTGATTTTAGGAAGAGATGTGCATATGCTTTCCAAGAGACATCTTCTTTCAAATCTGTGTGCTAAGTGGTCTATTATCAAAACTGCTCCATAGGGGTGAAGATTGTTCCTTACAATATTTATATAAGGCCATTATTTATACCAGGGGTAGGCAGCTGTGGTAAAACTGCAAATCCCATTATTCCCATTGGGAGTGGGAATAATTATTCCCATTAATCCCACCCCATTACTCTGCATCTGGGAGTCATGCCTGTGTCAGCGACTTGCAATGCCTAATGGGATTTGAAATTTCGCTGCAGCTGGAGGGCCGGAGTTTATTCACAAAGCTGCTGAAGGCAGCCGAGTGAATAACCCAGTCGAAGTGAAGTGAGCCGAACGACATTTGGCTATTCACTCCGGCTCAGTATGGCTGATTTCAGCCGTATATCGGCTGCCTTCGGCTGCTTTCGGTCAGCCGAACATTCTCTGCATTCTCGTAGGGGCCAAAAGGCAGTGAGTAAATAGCTCAATGCCGCCGAGCGGCATTTGGCTCGGTTACTCTGCTCGGTACCTCCGTGGTACCGAGCAGAATAGAAAATAAGTGAAAAGAAAGGGAGAAAAAATAGTTGAGAAAATATGTAAAAAATGTAAACAAATAGTCCAAAAAAAAAGATATTTGAAAGAAAAAAAACCCAAAAAAACAATTGGGTGGAGCTAGCGGTGACAGCTAGCACAGCCCAACTGTTTCCTATTGGCCAGCACCTGCTAGAGTCTTCTTATGAATAACAACTGGGTGGCGCCAGCCGTGACGTCACAGCCAGCTCCGCCCAGTTGTTATTGTTTAATGACAGATCAGCACCCCAAGGTCATTTGGGGATGCTGAAAACGTCATTATAACTGGGTGGAGCTAGCCTTGAGATCACGGCTGGCTCCGACTAGCTGTCATTTGCGGGGAGAACAGCCGGCAGGCCATTTTCCCCGCTTCGGCTGTCACTTTGGCTCAGTCCAGCCGAAGCATATGCCTTAGGCCTGGCTTAGCTGCTCAGCCACTGTACGGGCTATAGTGAATAGCCCGTACAGCAGCCCTTTGGTTCAGACGAACGGTGGCCAAAGAGTGCCGAAGGATCAGCTGAAGCTACGGCTGGATCCTATGGCTCTTTAGTGAATAACCCCCTTAGTGTTTATTTACACTTAACTTTACCAGTTTATTTCTTTTATAATAAGAGTGTTTTTTTTTTTTCATTGTTGATATAGAGATGATTATTCTCTCCCTGGTTTATTAGAAGCTCTCTCAAGGCACCTACAAGGACTGTTGAGCTTATTTTATATCTTTTCTATTGATTCAATACAATTCTTTTTGTAAGTTTGCATTTCATTTTGGATTTTATTCACTGGAGAGACCTCAAGCTTTTTTCACAGTATTCCCTTTAAAAAGCAAACCTTTTCCCAACAGAGCATGACATTTGGTATATGTATGTATGTGTGTGTGTGTATATATATATATATAGATATATATAGATATATGTGTGTATATATATATATATATAGAAATAGAAAGAACTTTTGGTGGACTAATCCTTCAAAAGATTTTTCAATCAAACTACCCTTTATAAGTCCTTTCCATAAGTATACAAATTTCAAATACTCATTAACAATTACTTGCAGTATTATAATGATTCTACTTGTACAAATTACAGGCTTAACCCACTAATATAAACACAAGAGTCCAATTTATTCTTCTCTTGATTGATGTCTGGTGTCTATTCAAAGTGCACCCCAGTATTTGCAGGACTATAATTTGGATGGAATGGAAGAATGATCACAGAGCTACCTGGGCACGGTCACAAATATTTCTTAGCTGTTTGCCAGCCTTAAACACGTATTTTAGCTATTCTGAGTCATTTTGGTTCAGGATTAGTGTACACTGTGTTCTTATGCAGATCCCCTGTGGCTTGACAAGAGTTTCTATGTCTTGTTATTTTAATTAACTCTGTGCAATACAAGAGCTGCTATTAAGATTCTCAGTTTCTCAATGTCCTGGCTCTTCCCCACAGTACACATTAGAGTACTCATCTCAGCATTGTAGAAAGACTGGCTCAGCATTTGGCAAGCAATGAACACAAAATTGTTGGCATTTCAACCAGAGGAAATGTGCAGAAATGCTGTATCATAGATGAGCAAATAAACCGTTAAAATGTTGAAATATTACGAAAAAGCCCCAAAAGACTTAAAAATACATATTAAAGCCAAAGCCCACCTTTCAAAAAAATCATAGGTGCAGTGCTCTTGCTGATTTTCCCTCATGTCCCTGTCTGTTCTGTGGTATGAATATTCAATAAGGGCTGGTGCATACTTGGACGATCCTGGGACGTGAGTCCCGAGACCGTGCGATTGTGTGCAGTTGCACACAGCAGTTGCCACGCGGCCCCATTGATTTCAATGGGGCTACATCCCTGCGGGAAACCATGCGACCTGCCTGGCACGACTGAAGTGCCATTAGAAAATAATCAGCATAGATCAGCATAGATCAGTGGTGTGTGACGCTGTGACTGTGCGGCCATCTGTGCGGTTTTGTGCACGATTGCCGTGCGGTCATGGCTCGCCCAGGTGTGAACCTGGCCTAACAGGGACATGAGCAATATGAGATGATTAAACTTCCAGATACATGTATCGCAACCAATAAAGCATAGCTCGAATCACTAGCAAACTACAAACGTTGCCATAAAAAAACGAAGTTTTTGCTCTTGGTCTAAATCCTTCACGCTTTCCATCTTTCCTAAAAGCTACATCACCATTACGGCTCGGTCAGCTGAAGCTTTGTTCTTTCTACATCCCACACACTTCATTTCAGCTTGCACCCTGTTATTTGGTGTCCTAGAGCCATGACATGTGCCTTTGTGCAAGACAGAACTCTACTGACCCAAATTACAACTCTATGGAATGCCCAGTGTACAGCAAAGACAACATAATAAAGCATTATTACACTAATATCTTTGATTCGTCAAAAGTCTTTTGTTAATGGCACTGATATTATATACAGTATATATGTGAGACAACTAAACTTCACCTGAAATCTGTATTGTGTATATAACTTTAATGCATGTATACACATTCTGAATAACAGTAAAGTGTTATTGGTTGAAATGCAAATGTTTTTATGACGTCAGGAATTATAATCCTCATTTGTTATTCTAGTCTCCATCAGAGTTTAAGCTACACCCACCTTGCATGGCAATTACAAGGGGGAAAGGGTGGATTCCCACACTCATTTCATTTATTAGGTATAGTTAAATGAGATGTAGATGCCAATGGTTATTTAGATATACATGCAAAAGAGATCAATTTGGAGGAAATGGCCTTAGTAAGGTTCGTTAACGTTTTACAAACCATTAAGTTTGTAATTATATATATTCCTGGAGGCAGTCATATTGCCTCCAGCTCTGCTTGCTGCTTTTCAGTGCTAAACTATGGTTGTGCTTCATTGTTCCTTCTCAAGTCTACGAGTTTGTCCAGGGGTGTCCCCATAATAATGCAGTTATGGAGCAGAGGCA